CGGGCGCGGCCGGCTCCGCTCGGCTGCCCTGCGGGAGTCGCTGCGGCCGGGGACAGGTCGGCTGCTCCGCCGCCCCGGTGCCAGAGGAGGGAGGCCCGGCCCGGCCCGGCCCGAGCTCCCGGCGGGGCTGACACAACACACAACTGCGGCGGGGAGAGAGCAGCCGCCCTGCACAGACGGGCGGTAGCGGGGATGGCAAACGGAAGCGGTGACGAGGATGATTTTCCTTTGTCCTGCGTCTGACTTTCCCCTCTGAAAGTGAGGGACAGCCGCTGGGTGGAACCAGCGAGGAGGAGAGAAGAGGAAGGGCAAGGGCCGCCGCTCCGTGCCGGCTTCCTCCTGCCCCCTCCCTGAGGAAGACCCCGGGGCCGGCCACGGTGACCTTCCTGCCACCCTCGCGGCCGGGCCGGGCTCCAGCCACGCACCTCGAGGGCAGCTCAAGCCCCCGCTTCTGTGGAGGCCCCCCGAGTGCCTCGGCAGAGCCCAAGGACAACTTGAGACCTCCTTCAGCGCCCGAGGAGCAGCTGTGTGGCCAACAGGTCCCAGGGAACAGCACATTACAGTTGACACCAGTCCTCGCCTAGATAAAGGAAAGATGGGGTGATCTCAAATGGCTCTGGTCATAGGAAAGTTTGATTTTCTACTCCCACCAGAACAAAAGGCAGACAAGGTTCTTTGGATAAATGTTGTATCTTTTACTAGACCAGCTAAGTAGCTAGAAAAATGGTTTTTTGCAAACCGTGGAGCACAAGCACCCTTCTCCAGGCACAGGGAGAGGCCGCTGGCACGTGGTGTTCTCCTAACTCTGCCATATGTCCAGCATGGCTACAACCTACACCCACTTTGAGAACAGCAGAGTCCCCTTGCCTGCAGAAGGGCAACTACACCCAAAATCTTGCCAAGAACTTTTTGCCAACTACTCGGTTGATCTAATAAAAGATATCACGTCTACTCAAAGAACCTACAGGGCAGTTAGTCTTACCTCAATCCCAGGCAAGCTTTTTGAGAAGATTATTCTGGCACATATCCACGAGGGGCCAGCAGGGGAGATTATGCTTAGGGGCAAACAACATGGGTTCATTAGTGGCAGGTCCTCTCAGAGCAACCTGGTGGCCTTCTATGACCAGGTCACCAAATCCTTAGATGCAGGGGTAGCAGTGGACATAGTCTTCCCGGACTTTAGGAAGGCCTTTGACACTGTCTCTTACCCCATTCTCATTAAGAAACTAGGGGACTGTGGTGTTGACACCCACGCAGTCAAATGGATCGCCAACTGGCTGGAGGGCCGCACCCAGAGAGTGGTGGTGGATGGGTCATTTTTGACCTGGAGGGATGTGGGCAGTGGGGTCCCCCAGGGCTCGGTCCTCGGGCCTGCACTGTTCAACATCTTCATCAATGACTTGGACGAGGGGGTAAAAAGCACCCTGTTCAAATTTGCTGATGACACTAAGATGTGGGTGGATGTGGGCACGCTAGAAGGGAGTAATAGGCTACAATCAGACCTAGACAGGTTACAGGGGTGGGCGGATGAGAATAGGATGGGTTTCAACACCAAGAAGTGCAAGGTAATGCATCTGGGGGGAAGAACCAGCAGCATACCTACAGGCTGGGGAATTCCCTTCTCGTCACTGGAGAGGCAGAAAAGGATCTTTGAGTCATCATTGATCCCAAGGTGAATATGGGCCAGCAGCGTGGGGATGCAGTCAGGAAGGCCAACCATACCTTGTCATGCATCCACAGATGCATCTTGAGCAGATCCAAAGAGGTGATCCTCCCCCTCTGTGGCACTGGTTAGGCCGCAGTTGGAGTACTG